AGTGTTGGTGTGGACTAAGGATCAGTGAGTGTTGATGTGGACCAAAGATGAGTGAGTGTTGGTGTGGACTAAGGGCGAGTGAGTGTTGGTGTGGACTAAGGATCAGTGAGTGTTGGTGGGGACTAAGGATCAGTGAGTGTTGGTGGGGACTAAGGATCAGTGAGTGTTGGTGGGGACTAAGGATCAGTGAATGTTGGTGGGGACTAAGGATCAGTGAGGGCTGGTGTGGACTAAGGATGAGTGAATGGCAACAGCCTGCAACACTGAGAGCTGAGCAGTCACTTGCCAGTGTTTATTGTGTGTTTTGTGTGTGTGATCCCTGAGTTAGGTACTACTTCATCCACTACCCAGGAACCCAGGATTCTGAGAATGAGATCATTTGTCCAAATGTAAACCAGCTAGAAAATGGCCCAGAGCTGTCCCGATCTGGGTAGATGGCTCCAGGGACTAAATTCTTAACAGTTGCCTTACCCCAAACTGGAAGGAAATGGATTGGCACAGTGGCTGCAATGTTGAGCTCAAACATAACTCTTGTGAGGATGGCACGGGATTGGGCACTGTCCGGTTGTGTTGTAGATAGGGTCGCTATGAGTGAGGGCCAACCTGATGGCACCTAATAGTGAGAACAAATGGATCTACTGTGAGCTTTAGGAGCAGCCCTGGTGGCTCAGGGGTTCAGGGCTAGGCTGCTGGTGGTTAGAACCCCTCAGCTGCTGCTCATGGGGAAGGCTGTTGTTGGTTCCGATCCACATTGAGTGCTCCTTTGACCAAGAGAAGGACGGCCCACCTGGTCTTGTGCCATCCTCACAACTGTGGCTGTCTGAGCCCAGCAATACGCTCATAGCACTACTTTGCCGTTCCTGCTCCATTCCTCTGCGGGAACCCAGGGGGTCCCCTTTGCCCCACCGAGGGTTTTGAGTTTAGGAATTGCTGGTGAACCAGCTCGTGCGTACCTGCAGAGACCTCCATCACATTGGATGGCTTGGGGTTCACCCAGTGATGAGTTTGCCTAGGGATCCCTCTGCGTTGGGTCTGCTTTCAGATGTACCATAGGATCCGCCACTCAGAGTGCATCTACCGAGTCACCATGGAGAAGCTGTCCTACCACAGCATCTGCACGTCGGAGGAGTGGCAGGGCCTGATGCACTTCAGCCTCCCGCTGCGGCTCTGCAAGGAAGTGGAACTGTGAGCCCCCCGCATGTAGCCCCCTCCCTCCCCGCCCAGCCCCCCAACCCGGTGCCCTCACTCTCTTCAGGGACAGGCTGGTGGTGCCCAGGCTGGGAGCGAGCTGGGCTGCAGGTTCTGGGCCACCGAGGATGCCCTTGCTGACGCTGGCCCAGTTCCACCTGTTGCCTTTGAAACGCAGGAGCCCTGGCAGTGGGGTGCTTACTGTTTGGGCTGTTAACCACAGGGTCAGCGATTTGAAACCACCAGCCGCTCCTTGGGAGAAAGAGGAGGCTTTCTACTCCCCTAAAGAGTGACAATCTTGGAAACCCACAGGGGCAGTTCTGCCCTGTCTGGTTAGTCAATGGCAGTAAAAACAGTAGGTCAATGAAAGAGAATGCTTCAGGGCAGCGGTTCTCAACCTGTGGGTCATGACCCCTTTGGGGGTCAAACGACCCTTTCACAGGGGTCACTCAATTAATAACAGTAGCAAAATTATGGTTATGAAGTAGCAATGAAAATAATTTTATGGTTGGGGGGGTCACCACAACATGAGGAACTGTATGAAAGGGTTGCGGCAATAGGAAGGTTGAGAACCATTGCTTCAGAGGAATCCAGGCCTGGTGTGGGCCTCCCCGTTGGAAACGCAGAACCATACACACACACACACACACACACACACACACACACACACACACACCACTCATAGAACCCACATAGCACGCACAGGGAACTAAAATGTGGGCTACAGTCTACTTCCCCACATACGTACCGGGCTCATAACATACGTCCTCATGCAGTGTGACCTTCCCCTGCTGTTCATTCTGGGGGCTCAGGTGGCAAATGGAAAACAGGCCACGATGCTGGGTCCCCATCGTTTCTCCCTCCGGGCTTCAACGGGAGGCACGCTCAACTTCAGCTGACACATGCTTTTGACAAAGGGGTGCCCCCATGCCTTAATTTCATGTAGTCCTCGTACGGGTGTCCCATCCTTGGCCCCACCTGTGCACTTTGTCACTTCCCGGATGGCGGCATCCTTTGGTGCGGGTTGTCTCACAGAAGGAGGAGCATGGGCTCACGTGCGGGGTGGCGGTCCCGAGAGAAGGCATGGAGCCTCCCCTCCTGCGGGCTTTACATCTGAAACGAAGAGGCGGGTGGCTCCCTGGGTCGCTGTGCTTTCTGGGGACGAGCCCCGGGGATGTTGCTTTCATCACCGGTGCATGTGTGTGTGTGTGTGTGTGTCCTCAGTTCACAAGTGACAAACGGCCTCTTTCTGGTTTCAGATTCCACTTCGACATCGGTCCCTTTGAGAACATGTGGCCCGGCATCTTCGTCCACATGGTCCATCAGTCCTGTGGGATATCCTGGTATGGAGGGCCCGAGCGCCCGTTTGTTTGTTTGTGTTTGTTTTATGCAACAGAGGTTACTTCTCCTCTCCCTTAGCTGTGCCCCTCCCTGGCCCCTAGTTGATTATTATCCGAGGATGGGACTGCGTGAAGCCCCGTTTCCTAAGCATCCGCGTGAAGGTATGGTGACCGTGCCGGGGACGAGCAGCGGGGCTGTCCTCTTTGCAGGGCCAGGCGACCAGGCCTTTCTCCTTCCGGATTTAAATGGAGCCAGAGTTTCCCGCTTACTTTGCACAGTTGCTAAAATAGATGGATGGGGACAAGAGTCTGTCCTGAAACTCAGGTTCTTGGTCAGACAGTTCCATGTGTCCTGTTTCTGAGTCACTAGCGTCTGTCCTAGACCCCCTTCTCGACATGATTGCTGTCAGGTGCTGTGAGGTCAGTTCTACATCAGAGGGACCTGAGGGAGGAGACCAGGACAGAACACGCCCATCCTGCGCTGCCCTCCCCCTGGTTCTGAAGCCTGAGCCCATGGTCGCAGCCGCTGTGTCCATCCACCTCCTTGAAGGCCTTCCTCTTTTTCGCTGCCCCTCGACTTGACCAAGCAAGAGGTCCTTCTCCGGGGACAGGTCTCTCCTGATGACATGCCCAAAGCACTGGAGACAAACTCTCTCCACCCCTGCTTCTAAAGAGCACTCTGGCCGTGCCTCCCTTGGTAGCGATCTTCTGGGACATAAGCACACATCCTCCAGTGGGCAGCGGACTGTGTTTGAGCCCGCCCAGGCATCCAAGGGCCCGCGGGAGCAGGCCAGTCAGTGCATTCACCTCTGCTTCTTCTGATTTGCTGTTTTCAAGGGGTGGCTCACGGAATCCAAGCACCAACTCTGAGTCTTCCTTAGATAGAAATCAAGAGCCTTCCCAGGAGGGGGCTCTTCAAATGCCAGCCCCTACCTTATAATAACTTCACGGACACTGGGACCTTTTCCGTGAGGGCAAAAGCCCAGTGGTCTACAGCTTTGACTTCCATGAACTCACACCTCGCTGGCCTTTCCCAGGACCCTCTCGTGTATATGAGGGAACCCTGGTGGCATAGTGGGTTTATGTGATGGTTTAATAGCCACAAGGTCAGCAGTTTGAGAAAGAGGAGGCTTTCTGTTCCATAAAGAATGACAGTCTCGGAAACCCACAGGGGCGGCTCTGCCTTGTCCTGCAGGGTCACTATGAGTCGGAATCCCCTCAAAGATAGTGAGAGAGAGAAGCTGCATCAAATCCGCTTGTGGGGGTGGTCGGGCTTTACATCAGCGTAAATAGATACAACATGGCAATAAATGATGTAGGGAAATTAACCACGTTAGCCACAGGGTGGAACCCACGGGGCTGTCCTTCCCTGTCCGGGAGGGTCACTAGGAGTCGGCAGTGACTTGGTGGCAGTGGGCTGTTTTGAGCTTCACCGATGTGGTGGCATGTGGACAGGACCACGTCTGACTCATGTACCCTAATCGTAGGCTAATGGCTCGGGGAGCCATGTCTCACAGAATGCCTATTTGCAGTTGGAAATGTGCACTTGGCACAAACTGGACAGGACAGTGGAGTTCGGTTGCCCGTGGGTCCCCGGAGGCTGCAGGGCATGTGTGCAAAGGCTAAGGACGAAGTGGGGTGGGAGGAGGCAGTGCGGGGTGGGGTGGGGGTGCCCCCTGGTGAACGATTCTGGTTCTGGCAGTGCCTCCCCGGTTGGCCGAGGTAGGTTCTCTGTTCTCTCACTTTGACCTGGCTGCAGAACTAGAGGGAGGGATCCCTGCCCGCCAGGGGGGTGTGGTGGGAAGGGAGCCCTCGTCTGGACTGTGTTGACCCCTTAGCTCTTGGGGCCCCCTGGCCTCTCCCCCACACCTCCCCACCCCCGCCCACAGCTTTGACCTGGAGAAGCTGTGCCGCTTCATCATGTCTGTGAAGAAGAACTACCGGCGCGTCCCCTACCACAACTGGAAGCATGCTGTCACCGTGGCCCACTGCATGTACGCCATCCTGCAGAACAACCGAGGGCTCTTCACGGACCTGGAGGTGAGTGTGGGCACCTGGGGCACGCAGTGGGGCAGGGCCGCTCCAGCCAGAACCCACTGGGCACTCACCCGAGCCCAAGTGTGTAGGGATCCCCTGAACTGCGGTGAGAGACACACACGCGGTGGGTGGGTGGGTGGGTGGCTTCGAGGAACAGAGACATGGGGCGGCCAGCAAGTTTACAAATAAGACGTGTGTGCCGGCTGCCGGGTTCTCCTAAACCTTCATAGAAACCACGGATGAGCAGCAGCCTAAACCCGAAGTCTTCACACATGGCAGACGTTAATGTAAAAGCAGTCGTAGAAGCTGAGTTTGCTGTCTGAGGATGGTCCTGTGGACGTTCCATAGGCTGCCGCGGTGTGCTAAGTAAGAAAAGTGTTCGTCGGAATCCTGCACGATGCATTTTGGCAGGAATTTTGTCCACTTTAATATGTGTGGGGTCACAGCTGCGCAGTGGTTATGTATGGGGGTGCTCACCGCAAGGTCAGCAGTTCAAAACCACCAGCCATGCTGCAGGAGAAAGAGGGTTTTCTACTCCCATAAAGAGTTTCAGGCTCAGACTCTCACAGGGGCAGTCCTACCCTGTCCTCTAGGTCGACCTGATGTCAGGGAGTTTGGATTTAGTGGTGGTGTGGCAGAAGCACTGTACCATGCACTCGCCAAACGGTTGAAGGTTTACACCCACCAGATGCCCCGAGGCAGTGAGTCTGGTTTCTGTGTGCGCTTTAAAATATGGGTACAAAGCAAAAAAAAAAAAAAGTACAATTATAGTGAGCAGCCTAGTTTTGTTCAGATTACCTAATGTTTGCCAACAAGCATAAAAGATGAATGAAGGAAAATCCATGAAGAAGAGAGAAGTATTTTCTCACAGCTCGGGAGGCGAGAGGGCGGCGAGAGGGCCGCTGGGCCTCAGAGAAGGCTCTCTATTTTCTCTCTCTCCTGGTCAGCTCTGGGGCACCGTCCCTGTCCCTGCCCCAGCCCTGCCAGGGTTCCTGAATGAGCGCGGGTCAGCTTGTGTTGATGAAGCCACTGCTGGTGCTGTTTCTGTGATCACAGCCAGGGATAAGCCAGAATTGCTTATCTTCACAATAAAAGCAGGCTACCTGGGGCGGGGTGGGGTGGGGGTGGGTGGGAGGGGGTGGGGATCTGTTCTTTCTCATGTAAGTTTGTGTAAACAAGTTCTCACTTCAGTAAAACCGTACTTCAGAGACTTTTCAGATGAAGAGGGCGAACCCCTCGTCTGTCTTTCCATCACCAGATGGCCTGTGAGGGACGGACGGTACACTGGATCTGTGTGTGCCCATGGGAAGGCAGCATCAGTGGGTAGACATGGCCTTGCTCCGCTCGACTCTGATGTAATTTCCAATCTGCTTCAGGAATGGATCCTGTTATGACACTTTCCTTAAAATAATAATAATAATAATAATAATAAACTCACATGGCTTTGGCTAAACACGAATCCCCCAAAGCTGAAGGGAGCGCTTAGATCTCTGTGTTTATACAGAGGGTGTTTAATCTCCAAGTGATGTGGCATTTCTCTTTCCCGCCCGCTCGCTCGAGTCTCTGGGCCTGGGCTCCTCTCACCTCTCACGTACGTCACCAGAGAGCCGGATGCTCTACACTCATCCTGCCCCACTGTCGTAAGAAACAACACGGGGAAATGGAGAGGAGTCTGACTATTGAGTTCCTGAGAAGGAAAGAGAGAGAGAGAGAGAGAGAGAGAGAGAGCGCTTAAAACAAAACAAAGCATACACAGAAAGCAAAGAGCTTGTCCTGGGGGCTTCTAAGAGGCACACTAGACCTTGGAGTGCCGGTGGCCACATCTGATGTTGGCTGATGGCGGAGTTGACCCTTCTCTTATCCCAGGTCCCTGTTGCATTCAATAACCTGGGGTGAACCTCCCACACCTGGCCGCCTGTGGCTTTCCTGTTACCACGAGGCAGGGGTCAGACATGTCTACACGCTTTATTCTTCTTTACCGACTCTGACACTAACCCTTCCTCCCACGCCACCGTGCTTCTGTTTTGGGCTGTCATCGTTGCAGCGACCCCAAAGAACTCGCCCACCGACAGTGTTCACGCCTCAGGGGCCTTATTAGGCGAGCTGACAGGCTGCCACAAATCAGGCTCAGCAGACAGTCAGGATACAGCCCCTGGTTCCACAGCAACAGCAGCCGCGTCTCTCTCTCCCATCCTTACTTTCTCAGTTACGTGGTCGCTTGGCCTTGGCCTCCGTGGGCCAGGAAGCCAGCCTACCTGTTGCTCTGTCCCACAGTCCCAGAGTCTTGGGCCAGATGAGGAGAAGGCTCCTCATAGACTCCGGCTGCTCCCCTGAGGCTCTGTGCCACAGTGCCTGGTCCCTCTGGTCTTGGGCGGCCCCTGCCACTTTAGACAGTGATCCAGAACATGCTCTTGAAGGGTCGTGGGCTTCCTCTCTGCTGCTGCTGCTTTGAAGATGGCTCCTCCTGGTGGGCAGGAGGCTGGTAATGAGAACTGACCCATCCCCTCTCCTGGGGTGACACAAGCACACCCTTCTTGCATTGTCCCCACCCCTCCCCCCTCCCCATTTAGTCATTTAGTGGGAGTCACTTGAATAGAAGAGCCCATGAAGAGGTCTCACTCCCCCAAACCTGTCGTGACCACCTCGTACTCCATCTGTCCCGTAGCGTAAAGGGCTGCTGATCGCCTGCCTGTGCCATGACCTGGACCACCGGGGCTTCAGCAACAGCTACCTGCAGAAGTTCGACCACCCACTGGCTGCTCTCTACTCTACCTCCACGATGGAGCAGCACCACTTCTCCCAGACGGTGTCTATCCTCCAGGTAAGCGCCCTGGGAGCCCCCTCCAGCCCTTGCCCCGCCCCGCAGGGGCCCCCACTGGCCATACTCCCTGGTGACCATGCCAAGGAGAAGCAGCAGAGAGAAGACCTCCTACACGTGAACAGCTGCCTCGCCGCCGCTCAGGATCAGAGCCCGGCCACGCTCTGCAGGCGTGGGTTTTTCAGAGGAGGAATAGTCCTAGGAGAGCATTGGAGCGTCTGCACGTTGGTTGCCACCATGCGTGGCTTGCAGGTCTCTCTCCCTCCGGTCACTGAGCCCATGGGGCTTGTGGCAAGTGTGCAGGGCCAGCATCTGGACTGTCCACCGCCGAACAGGTTTTGAAAATGACGATGGCAACATGTGGACAAATGTGCTCAATAAATGGATGCACGGATTGTTATAAGAGCTGTAAGAGCCCCAGATAAAATGCTTTA